AAAGAAACGGAGAAAGAACAAGATAAGAAAGAAGAAGGAAAAGGGGGTGGTGGGATAAAGAGTGTGAAAAGAAGAAGAGGGAGGTGGGAGGAGAGATGAGGAAATCGAGAAAGGGAACAGGGGAGGAGGAGAGATATAAGAAAAGTAAATTGGAGTATAAGGAATTATGTAGGCGGAAAAAGAAAGAAGAGAATGACAGGTGGGAAAAGAAAGCGACGGGAGCTAGAAGAGAGAAGGAAGTATGGGAAATAGTAAATAGAGAAAGAAAGAAAAGAAGGGGAATACAGGGAGAAATTGAGATAAAGGAGTGGAAGGAATACTTCATAAGGATAATGGGGGAGTAGAGGTAAGGGTGGTGAAGGAATGAAGGAAAGGGAGGGAAAGGGGAAGAGGAGGAAGGAATAAGCAAGGGGGAAATAAAGGAGGTAATAAGAAATTTAAAGGATGGAAAAGTGGCAGGGATAGATGGGATTACAGGGGAGGCGTGGAAATATGGTGGAGAGGAAATGGAGGAATGGATATGGGGATATTGTAATAGGATATGGAAAGGGGAGGGATGGCCAGAAGAATGGAAGGAATAGTGGTGCCGATAATAAAAAGAGGCGCAGGAAAGGTGGTGGAAGACTACAGAGGGATAACATTGATGCCAACGCTATACAAGGTGTATATGATGGTGCTTATGGAAAGATTAAGGGAGGAGGTGGAGGGGAAAGGAATTCTACCACCGAATCAAACGGGGGTTCAGGAAAGGGATGGGAACGATCGACAACATATATGTACTTTATTTGATAAATAGGCAAGTGGGGAAAAGAGGAGGAAAAATGGTGGCATTATTTGTGGACTTAAGAGCGGCGTTTGATTCGGTGGACAAGGGAGTGTTGTTAGAAACAATGAAAGAGAGGGGGATTAGGAATGGATTGATAGAAAGGATAGAGGAGATGTTAGAAGAGACAATAAGTAGAGTGAGGGTGGGAGAGGATTTGGGGGAAGAATTTTGGACAGCGAAAGGGGTGAGACAGGGGTGCCCCTTAAGTTCTTTGCTATTTAATCTGTTACTGGCGGATATAGAGGAAGAGATGGGAAAGGTTAAATGGGGGGGAGTAAAGGTAGGGGAGAAAAGGATATATACGCTGGCATATGCGGATGACATGGTTTTATTAGCAGAAGGAGAGGATGAGATGAAAAGCATGATAAGTAGACTGGAGGGTTATTTGGATAGGAAAAGGATGGAACTAAATCCGGATAAGACAAAGATAGTAAGATTTAGGAAAAGGGGGGGAAGAGCGAAAAAGAAAGATTGGAGGTGGAAGGGGAGAAAAATAAAAAGGTAAAAGAGATAAAGTATCTAGGGTATGTAATGCAGAGCAATGGAAAACAGAAAGCACAGGTAAGGGACAGAGTAAAAAGGGCAGCGGCAGTAATGGGGCAAGTATGGGGGATAGGAAAGGAA